GATCATGTGTCGATACTACACCCGTGTCGGGTTTCTGGTCTCCTTTTGCAATTTCTTCAATGGTAAAATAGCAGATTTGGTTCTTGACTTCTGGATTTTGCACAAGTTGATCCTCAAGTCTTTGATCTCTTCAATTTACTTCTAAAAAGTAAGATGTCTTCCAATTAAATCATTTCCTACACAAAGAATGAAAACAATATAAAATCAAACAAAATCCCATAAAACTCATCCAAATATCAATAATATCATAATAAAAATTTCTTATTAATATGTATATAAATTTAGCTCATCATATGACATACAAGAAAGGGGGACTTTGTGCTTGCTTTTGCTTGCGTGGTAATGGAGCTGCTAAACTCGAGCTCTCCTACCCTTGTTCTTTTTCTTACTCCAAAACATATGAATATATGTCTATTTTATCAAGTGTTTTGTGTGGGTTCCATGTGCAACTAACACCTTAAAGAAACCTTCCAAACTTATTTCTTTATTGGAGGCTCTTGTGGGTAACACACGAGTTTGTCATTCAATAAGATCCATTTGGTGGTTTTCCACATATTTCATAATTTTAATTATTTAGGACAACTTATGAGGTGTCAAGACAAACTCATGGTTCATCTTTCAAGGACCACTTGTTCGTGAAATATGCTGAACTCATTAACCCCTTGTTTATTGAATATATTAAATATTGTGATGATCTTTTTTAATTAAAGTGGGTGGCATAAATGGCCTTTATTTATATTAATACTATTGTGGAGCCTCATGCAAATAATGGAATAATCCACAAGCTAATGGTATCCACGAGCTAGTGGTCTTTATTATTGGTTCTAACTTAAAGAGATAAATCTCTCTTTGAGAGGGGGAGTAGGAATACATAAACAAAAGCAACAAAAATAAACTTTCATATTATACTGAGCATGTGCTTAACTTGCTGCTTGAATATATTTTGAAAGTTATATTTTAGCATTGTTTATTTTGATGACTTATGCCACAAACATTTATATTTAATTCTAAATTATTGTGCCACTTTAATGTTGATGCATTTAATGTATTATTGATTATTAATAAACTAATGGTATCTTGTCAAGTTCTATGTTTAGAATGAATTCTTACAGATTTCAAGAGTTTGTTAACTCCTTGGCTTGAAAGACTCAAAAATATGTTATTGGATTTTGAACACATTAGTTCATCAAAAAATATTATTGGCCTTTAAGCCCATTAGCTATCGGCTTTTTAGCCCATTTGCTCTATAAGAGTTTGCACCCATCAACTATTAGCTTCTCAACTCATTTGTTCTATGAAAGCTTAGTTCAATCTTAGCTCTGTGGAGAACAACCCTCAAAAGGGTTTCATTTTTATGCTATGACTCGACAGGTCAAGATTTGCTTATGGACATCCCAAGGTGGGATTCTGTGGTAGGCATCTCCATCTACCAAAATTGGCATTCAATCAACTCTACAAAAATTGGTTCTGATCCTAGCTATATAGAGCATGACCCTCAAAGGTTGACTTCCATTATCATGGCGCATGAGGTCGCAAGTCATCACTTTCGAGTTGTCATTTTCAGGTCATCATTCTCTGCTTCGGCCTAATACACATGACTACGGTCATGCATTTTTACTTTGGCTTTGGCTGCACACCACATAGTCACGTGTCATGACCTCTTCACTTCAGCTCCGGCTGTACCACGTGTCATGACCTCTTCACTTCGGCTCCAGCCATACAACATGACCACGTGTCATGATAATGTCACTTCGGCTCCGACCATACAACATGACCACATGTCATGATATTTCCACTTTGGCTCTGGCCGTACACTACATGACCACATGTCATGATATTTCCACTTCAGTTTTGGCTGTATGTTACATGACCACGTGCCATAATATCTTCACTTGGGCTCCGGCCGTACATTACATGACCATGTGCCATAATACCCTCACCTCGACTTAAGCCATCACTTTCAAACCCAACACAAACTCCCGTATCACTCACAAGTGAATGACTTCGGAGGGGGGAATAGTGTAGTGATGGTAGATCGAGGTCCGTGATCTTGAACCTCGGATGATCTAAGCCATGCCCATTAACCTAGTCACCTCGGACATTGTATGAGGCATGATGAGCTCAATCAAGTTCGAGCTTGTCCCCTTTGCTCTCGTTCTACAATAGCTCCGTACATACACAAATTTCTTACAAGAGATACCTTCGATGATTGACACGTATGACCCCGGTTTTCTGCAAAGATGAATAGTTGACACCTCTTTAAAGGCTATAAATACCCCCTAGGGGTCCTCCTCAAAAGGTAATTGAAACCGAGCTCGAGCTTAACTCTCACTTCATATCTGGTAGCTCTTATTACTGCTGGCTTAGGCATTGGAGTGTCTATCCCGAAGACCAATCTTGGGGCTTTGCAGGTTGGCCGAAGTGAAGATCCGAGCTCGAGAGCACTTCGTAGTTCTTTGCAACAACACCATCCTCCCCATCTACAACATTTCTTCTCTACTTGTTATCATCCTTGTCTTCATCCTCTCTAGTTTGCTCTCTCTTCTTTCTATTCACATTTTCATCCAATTTCATGTTTTTGTTACTCCGCCTTTTATATATAATCGGTTAATCTCAAGTTCAAGATAGTCCCAAGCATCATTTATAATTTTCTATTCATTTCTAGACTCATTTTGATAACCCAAACACATTGTTTCTAGTGTCAAAAGCAGCAGCTATATGTAGTAGTTTGGGAAAATCACTACAAGAAAACCTAGCTTCACCGACCACATATCACCAAGGTAAGAAGTTTTCTCAGTGAAGCATCATTTTATCGACAAGAATTAAGTCTGCAACATGAGAAACAATAGAAATGCCAGTAAGATATATTATTTATTGTACAGACGTAACACTTGTCGGTAATTTAAGGTCATACATACATGTTACTTGTCGGTAATTGCAGCCACCACTCCTGCTGGTGTAGGAAAGACGGAAAGGCACATCACCGACAAGAAGCACACTTGTAAATTTGATTTTGGAACGATAGTCTCGTCGGTAATTGAGGATCAATTTCCAACGTTCATCTTCTCGGTAATTTCCACTCCCAATGCACCCCCGCCAACCAACTGGCTGCCTGTGTCAGGGAGTGCAGCTTTTTGATGAAATTTTTTGACATAATGCTTGTCGCTAATTTGCCATTTAGCAACTCCTCGCGAATCCGGCTGCTAGCCATTAGTGTTGTAGCTTTTATTTTCCTTACCGATAAGATATAGGTCGATAATATATGCATTGCCAACTTAATGTTCGTCGGTGATTGGCCCAGTCAACGAGAATCCTGATGCAACGCAGAGATGATCAACTTTAGACTGTAGCAATGTGGGTTTCGTCGGTAAGTTTCCCTATTGCCCTGCCGACACGCCCTTCTGCTTTCATTTTGGTTTTTCTCCTTTTATTTTCATTTTCCTCTTGTCCCGCGAGTTATTCTTGCTCCCTTTCCGCCATTCTTCCCTTTGAAGCACTTTAACACATTTTTCTTCTTGCAGTCTAGTGGATCAAGCAGTGGTAAGTAAAATTTAAGTAGTATTATTATTTTTTATATATTTTATGTATATTTTATTTTTT